GGACGTCAGCCAATCACAAGGCTTTTTAGTCGGATCAGATGAGAGTACAAATAGCAAAAAAAGTCAACAGTTAGCACAGGATGTAGGGCAGGGGTGTCGAACTCTGGTCCTTGAGGGCCGCAATCCTGCAAGTTTTAGATGTTTCCCTCTCCCAACACACCTGATTCAAATGATCAGCTCATCATCAAGCTCTGCAGAAGCCTGATAACAATCCTGATCATTTGAATCAGGTGTGTTGGAAGAGGGAAACATCTAAAACATGCAGGATTGTGGTCCTCGAGGACCAGAGTTTGACACCCCTGATGTAGGGCAGTGGGATAAGCTGCATCAGAATTGATTAGAAAAAGCTCTTTTCATCTCGCATTACGTGCAATAATTATTTTGAAAAAGTCAAAAACCACCTCAGGCGAGGATAAACTTGTACGTTTTTTTCCCCAATTTTGCTGTTTCAATTAACTTTTTCCATTGCAGTGGTACAAAATGCATATCAAATCTGTCATGGAAACATTGCTACAAACTCCACGTTTAATTGATGCCTTAATGGAAACACTAACTCCACCTGCATGCAACTCCTAAAAACCTGTCATTCCTGAAACTAAACTCTACTCTCACTGGCCATCCAAATATCAGGTATGGTTTTAATGTGACTTCAAGCCTTTTTTGTTCTTCCGTCTCCGCTTTACTTCATCATTTATCTTCCTCTGTACTGATTACTGCGTCCGCTCTGTTTAACTTGTTAGATATTTCTACTTCCTGTATTGACCAGGATTAAAGGTGGATAAGAGGGAAGGCTATGCAAAGAGAGAAAATACTAAAATTGCTCCACACAAGTTCCACTTTGCATTTCTTCTCAGCATAACAAAATTGCATAAATCAGTTTGACACTGTCGTAAACACTGAATGTTTATCACGTATTTAATAACGAGATGCATTTCATCGTAATGTGTTCCAGCTACAGGAGTTTGTCCTTCGCATGTGTTCCGAACAAAACTAAAAAAATGCAGTTTTCTTTATCTGATTAAATATTTTGACTCAAAGAAAAGGCAGCATCCATTTTTCATGTCTCAATTGAGCAACCAAAGGCTTTGAAAGTAGCTACGAATGCACAGATGACCACGTTTTCAAAGAACATTTCAAAAACCCCACGAGAGTTTTGCAGCTTGAGAAGCAACATTCTTAACTACAGAAACATACATTCTGAAAAGTTTCCCCGAGATTATCACTTCATCAACCAAAAGATTTATGATTTCATGAGCTATTTAGGAGAGATTATAAACGAGCAGAGATATTCTGTCCTGAATGAGGAGCGAATGGTTCTAATGAGTCCTTCATTACCCTTTTGGCTCCTGTGCGTTTGCAGCTAACCGTGAGGTTTACAGAAGGACCAGATGGCATAGGCACCTCTGAAACTGTGACCTCACACCCTTTTCCTCTGATGGAGTGATAAAGGCATACAAGCTTTCCCCTGGGCCCAAAAAAAAAAAAAAAAAAGCGCAGGTCTCCGAGGAGCTAAGCCCAGGTCTGGAAGCCCTCCGAGCCAGGTGTGAGGGGCCGTGAAAGGGGGGACCGTACTCCAACCAGGCAGACCCAGAAACTACCCACATCTCTGAGGGAGCTTTAACTGGCCACAGACACCTCCAGGGCTTTAAGGACGAAAAAAAAAAAAGATGTGAGATGGTGTAGATTGCTAAGAAAGCGGCACGAACAACCGTTTACAATGAAGGCAATGTTCCACCGAGCTAAAGCTGGGAACCTGTTGTTGCAAAAAATGCAGAGAGACTGGTGTGCACGTGTGACTGTGCCTTTTTTTTTTCTTCTTCTTCTTTTTTTTTTAAATACAAAAGATTGATTTTTATTCATGAAAGAGATTGTTTAGTCGGGAGATTTTTAATGCACACCAGACAGATGGGTTCAAGGCCACATTCCTCTTTTTTTTTTCCTTACTGGGCTCAACTTGAAAGACATCACCGCAAAAAAATAAAAGAGAAAAAAGCCACATTAGAAGTGATCAGTGTTTGATACCAAACAATTACCACAGTTGGTTCCGTCTTTCTTCCTCTCTCTCTCTTTCTGTCTTTCTGCGCGCACGTGTGAAAATTTCAGGCAACTAATTTACTCCCCTCTTGGGAATCCTCATGACATAGCTCCTCTTGGAAGTCATCAACAGCAAAGCAGCCAGATACATTTCTGACCTGTGCATCTGCGTTCCAGCACATGCTCGGCTTGTGTTCTCCAACACATGGGCTCACGAGGGAGGGTAATCTACTACGCTCCACATTTCCTCAGCTGGTCAGGAGAAATTAGGTCAGGAGTTGAAACCGGTTAAAGGGGCTTTTGGGAGAGTGGTAGTTTGGTTTAGTTTCTCATGGTGATTGTACAGATACATGTTGGGGTGGGGGGTTGGGGAATAGAAGTCTGCAGAGATGAAGCAATAAATTAGCACATGAAAGAATAAAAAGAGCCCTGCAGAAATGCACTGACACACATGTTTTATCTGAATCCTCTGGGGTGTGAGAGAGGGAAAGAAAAAAAAAAAGGGATGGCACAATAAGTAGGAGTGAACAGATATGAGAAGTGGTCTCATCATTCACAGCAGAATGACACTAACAACTCTTGCATGTGGTCAGCTCTGAAGTTTCCAAAAAAGCCAGTTGTTCTCCTCCTCTGTCATGTTCTGGCTATTTAACCCTTGTGATTTATCCGTCTGAGTCAGAGACCGGGCCGAGTTCAGATGAAGCATCAAACATTTCAGATGTGAGCCTGCAGAGGTAATCCACGCAGGGGTCATGTACATGTTTATAACCTGCCCAGGGGGCATCATCAGGACTTTGTCACAGACATCCGCCCTTTGCTCTTTGATTTTTTATTTTTCTTTTCCCAGCAACACAAAGGTCAACAATGAGCAGGTTGGAAAATTACTGAGGGAGCATTTGGGAACGTGCTGCGTTGAATGAATAAACATGAGGGCGATAATATCTTTTTGAAATGTGCAACCAAATTACAAGGGTCAACTACACTGTGGCTTCCAGTATGTTAGCATGAAGAAACACCTCGAGGGGTTTCTGAACTGGACAACCACAGTTTTGAATTAAAGTCCATGAAGTCGGATCCAAGCTTAGGAGTTTGTGTCGAATTTTATGGAGCATGATACAAATAAAACAAATTAACACTGACATTGTGGCTTAATGTGCTCCTTTAAACCCCAAAATGTACCAACAGGTTTAAGAGACATCTTGATTTTTAAAAAAAACTGCCAAAATTGCACCTTTGTCATTGCATGTAACTGTAAAAATCATCAGCTGTTCAACTTCTTGAAGATCTTTGAATTAATGGTGTCTAACTTTTGGTTTTATTGGGAAAAACAACCAAATCGAACCAAAAAATATGGATATTTCATTAAAACCACTGTATTATTCTACATGTCTCGTTTAAAAAGAAAGAAAAAAAAGCCAAAAATATAACATCTGAGGGCTGCAAGGTAGCTCGGTGGTTAGCACCGTTACCTCGCAGCAAGAAGGTCGCCGGATAAGGACACCCGGGATCTTTCTGCGTGGAGTTTGCATGTTCTCCCCGTGCAGCGTGGGTTCTCTCTGGCTTCCTCCCACAAGGTCCACAAACATGTTGAGGTTAATTGGTGATTCTAAATTGTCTGTAGGTGTGAATGTGAGTGTGCTTGGTTGTCTGTCTCTAAGTGTAGCCCTGTGATAGACTGGTGACCTGTCCCGGTTAACTTGCCCTCACCCTGAGCTACCGAGGTGTTGTGGGT